AAGTGGACTATGTATTGATGTACAGAAAGTGGGACAATTGTCCAACAATGCAATTTTGCAGGAAATGTGAAGCCCAAAGGACGACGGCAGGACTGTTGTCGAAGTTGGTTAATTAAGTATTGCTGAAAAAAAAAGACTATTTATACTTTTCAACAATGGAACTATGTATTGATTGTGAAGACATAATGACAACAGCGGGACTGTCGCCTAACTGGGTTATTAATTGATGAAAGGAAAGGAGACTTGGCAAAAAATTGAATTATGTATAAATTATGAAGTCAAAAGGACGACGGCGGGACTGTTGTCCAAGTGGACTATGCATTGGTGTAAAGAAAGAAAGAAGTTAGGGCAATTGTCCTAGTATGGAATTATGTAAAAATTATGAAGACAAAGGACAACAGTGGGACTGTTGTTGCAGGTGGGATAAGCAGCAATGAAAAAATTGTACTTAAATAAATGGACAGTGGTAGGGTAGTTATCCAATTGGATTGAGTTTTAATACAAACTAAAAGCCACCCAAAAAATATTGAGATCAGAGATCAGCTTTGAAGCCACCACCAAGGCAGCAATCGCTCCAGAGGTGTGACAACAACATCAGCGTCTTCTTCGGCAAAACGACTAAGGCTTTCCAACAGGTCATCTCAGGATGAGCAAAGCCACCACATCAGTTGCTATCTCTAATTATCGTCATTGTCAAATAAGCGGATCTTTCATTATACCCCGGTCTAGGATAAACGACGATTGCATTCTTCTTGCTCGTCCTTGAGGAAATGACTGGATTGGAAACGTTTGCTTCCATCTAGTCGTTTTCAGTACGACATTTTGAAAGCGTTCCTACAGGGTCATCTTTCATCAAAATACGTGCCATAGCCAGCCCGTCAAATTAAATTTTATACAAACGGCTCTAATTGAAAGAAAAATGCATCTCAAATTATAATAAAGACAAGTCCATCTATCACCTTCGTATTTTAAGTAATATAACAGAGTTACAGTACATTGTTTCAACCTAGTCATTATGGTTTCAGGAAGCGAACATATATTATGCCATCGTTGCAAAACTCGTTGCAAAACTCGGCAAAACTGATTGCTTTCCTCAAATTGAGTATCGTTGAATTGTCTCTTGTTAATCGGGGGATAAATTGATGTTTTCAGCATGATAAAAAAATAAAATCGAAGGCTTATTTGTCTTCGAAATTGGTCGATTGAGTTCAGTTATCAATAAACTTGACGTTTTGTCTGCATGTTAAGTGAAATGAACATGTTGAAGTACATTATTTCGACCTAGTCAGTTTTTATTCCACGAGCGCACATATGTCGTTGTCAGTAAACTTTCTAATGCATTATTTTCGAAAAGGTGGTATGGTTGCTGCGTTGTGTCAATCGAATGAGAGGAAATTGTGCTAATAAAAGCACAACGACGCTCTTCAATTTTAAAACAAATCGATTGTTGACAAAGAGCAGCTCGGTGTATCATTTCTACCTAGTCATTTTCGTATGCTCATAAATTTGTTTTGCAGTTATCTTCAAAAAAGGCGTATCGTTGTGTCGTAAATCGACTTACAAAAAAGGTAATAGACATATGAACGCGTTATTCATAATAAACGAAACAACATTCTTTCACTTTTGTCGACAAATACTTCATTACAGTGGTTTTCACCTCGGAATCGGTTTGAATCGATTATTGCCGATAAACGGCACCTTTGCTGTGCACGATTTTCGTAAAATGAAATAACCCGGTTGAAGAACATTATTTTCGACCTGGACATTTTCAATTCAACGAGCGCAAATATTTTCATTTTCATTAAATTGTGTTAAAGCTGTTAAGCAACGCTTTATCCTCGAAAAATCGTATTGTGGCCTCGTTGTGTATTAGTGTTTGTGACAAAAACTTGTATTACAAATAAAACGACGTTATTTATAATGACTGAAACGACATTCATCGGTTTCGTCGACAAGCATCACGTTATAATTCGATACGATTGTCGAAAAACAGCATCTCTGTCTTGTTCAATCTCCGTAGACTGAAATGACCAGTTAGAGTATTGTTTTTTCGACCTGGTCAATTTGAATTCATTAAATATTCGAAAACATGTAATCTTCAGAAAAAGACGTATCGTTCTGTCGTTTATCGAGTTACAAACATGGTAATAAAAACATAAATGCATTATTCGCAATAAAAGAAACGAAACCCTCTCGCTTTTGTCAACAAAAAGTGAGTTCATGAGCGTGATATTCGCCTACGAATCATTTTAATTACATTGCTGAAAAACGACACCTTCGTTCTACACGAAGGTCCTAAACTGAAATGACCTGCTCGTTGTACATGATTTTGACCTGGACGTTTTCAATGGAACGAGCGGAAATATGCCACTGTCATTAATAACATTTTGTAAAAAGCTGTTTACTAACGTTTTACCGTCGAAAAGGTCGTATCGTCAATCGTTTTCATAGTTTGACAAAATCTTTAAAAAAAAAAATCTTTTAAAAAAAAAAAACCAAGAGGTTATTCGTTATGAACGAAACGACGCTGTTATTTTTTCGGCAGTTAGCCTTACAATTCGATTCGATTGTCGAAAAACAACATGTCTATCCTTCATGATTTTGGTAAACTGAAATGACCAAGCTGAAGTGCATGATATTGACCTAGACAGTTTCAATTCAACGAGCGGAAACATGCCCTTTTTCGTTAAACGAAACGACGCTCTATGTTTTTCCGATAATTAAAACCTTCCAAATTGATTTTCGTAAACTGAAATTACCAGGTTGAAGTACATTATTTCGACCTGGTCATTGTCAATTCAACGAGCGGATATATACTATTTTTGTTAAATGTGTAAAAAGATGTTTGGTAACGTTGTTTCCTCGAAACAGTCATATCGCTGCCTCATATCAGTTTATGTGACAGAAACTTGTATTAAAAATAAAACAACGTTATATATAATGACCGGAACGCCGGTCTTTAGTTTTGAACCTCGTTGTAGTTGGAGTCCATTGTCGATAAACAGCATCT